AAAAAAAAAAAAAAAAGAAAAAAAAAAATTTGGTTTGGAGCAGTGATTCATAATCAAGAATGTATCAGAATTATTTGGGATAGCATTTTCAACCTATTCTTGCTTGGGCTGGACCCTAGATCTACTAATTAGTATTAGAGGTAGGTTGAGGTTGGTAGAGGCAGCACATGCATGTTTTTGGAAAAGCTCCTTAGGTGATTCTCCTCAAAATATCTGGTAAAATAGGCTGGGCATGGTGGCTCACACCTGTAATCCCAGCTTTTTGGGAGGCCAAGGCAGGCAGATCGCTTGAAGCCAAGAGTTCAAGACCAGCCTAGCCAACATGGTGAAACCCCATCTCTACTAAAAATACAAAAATTAGCTGGATATGGTGGCATATGCCTATAATTCCAGCTACTCAGGAGGCTGAGGCAGGAGAATTGCTTGAACCCAGGAGGTGGAGGTTGCAGTGAGCCAAGATTGTGCCATTGCACTCCAGCCTGGGTGGCTAGAGTGAAACTCCATCTCAAAAGAAAAAAAAAATAGCTGGGCATGGTGGCATACACCTGTAATCCCAGCTACTTGGGAGGCTGAGGTAGGAGACTTGCTTGAACCATGAGGCAGAGATTGCAGTAAGCCAGAATCACACCACTGCACTCCAACCTAGATAAAGAAAAAAAAATGAGGTGAAAAAAAAAATCTGATAAAATAGAGGCTGGAACTAATGCAACCTATAAAGGGTATCTGTCTTTCCCATCTTTGCTACCTTTTCGCAGCTACTACACCAAAATAGGGTGCTAATTCAATAAAGGATCTTTTATGGGAACTTCTATATTATTCCTTCCCCTTTTTATTTTCATTTATTTATTTATTTATTTATTTTTGCGATGGAGTCTCACTCTTGCCCAGGCTAGAATGCAATGGCATGACCTTGGCGCATTGCAACCTCTGCTTTTCAGGTTCAAGTGATTCTCGTGCCTCAGCCTACTGAGCAGTTGGGATTACAGGCATGCGCCACCATGCCTGGCTAATTTTTGTATTTTTAATAGAGACAGGGTTTTACTATGTTGGCCAGGCTGGTTTCACACTACTGACCTCAGGTGATCCAGGTGATCCACTCACGTTGGCCTCCCAAAGTGCTGGGATTACAAATGTGAGCCATAATGCCCAGCCTCTTTCCCCTTTTTACTAGTCATCTTAGAAATGTATTCCTGGACCTGCAGCAGATTATATGAAAAATTAACAGCCAAATAATATTAATAATGATGGTACTTGCCATCAAGCTTTAAAATATTCTTATTCTTTTTTTGATACTGCGTCTCACTTTGTCACCCAGACTGGAGTGCAGTGGTATGGTCTCTACTCACTGCAACTTCTGCTTCTCCAGTTCAAGCAATTCTCTTGCCTCAGTCTCCCGAGTAGCTCGGATTACAGGTGTCCACCACCACGCCTGGTTAACTTTTGTGTTTTTAGTAGAAATGGGGTTTCACCATGTTGGCCAGGCTGGTCTTAAACTCCTGACCTCAAGGTCATCTGCCCGCCTTGGCCTCCCAAAGTGTCAGGATTACAGGTGTGAGCCACCGTGCCCAGCCAATCTTCTAATTCTTGATGTGACTTCTATCCGAAGCTATTGTCTTTGTCATTTGTTATTCTTCTATTTTGGTTAGAAGGATGACTCATATAAGTGCCGGTTCTTCTGTCCCTCTTAGTTTATGATGTACCCCCATTCCTTAGCCAGAGACATTTCTGGCAGGAAGGATTTAGCAAAGGGCAGTCTTAATCCTGGTTCCAAGACTTACATGTAAGGAGAACTCAAAACCTTTTCCTATAGCTGAGTATCCTGCAGGGTGACTGGTCTTAGAGTGAGGGCAGTTATATTTTGAAGTGGGGTATGTTCCCATTCATCCTCTCACAGCATCTTCCCCTCCTTCTCTTATCCGTAGCGGCCTTCCTCACCCAGTCCGTTTGTCTAGACGACACAACCGTCAAGTTTGAGATCTGGGACACAGCTGGGCAGGAGCGATACCACAGCTTAGCCCCCATGTACTACAGGGGTGCCCAAGCTGCAATCGTGGTTTACGACATTACTAATCAGGTAAGTGAGTTAGGAAGACTGTCCTTGCTTATATTTAGAGGAATTAAATTAGATGGAGTGGGTGGGCAGAAAACATGTTCTTGAAATAGCAAATAAGAGTATAAATTATGCTTCCAAGTGCTAAGAAGACAGAGATAATGAATTATCAGAGACCTGTGGTTTCAGTGAGGGAAGGCCACCTGGAAGAGGTGAATTTTGAGACTCATTTTAAAAGGTGATAGATATGGATTGGCAGTCATTCCAGACTACTCATTCTCTAAATGTTTTCCTAGGAAACCTTTGCCCGAGCGAAGACATGGGTGAAGGAACTACAGCGACAGGCCAGTCCTAGCATCGTTATTGCTCTAGCGGGGAACAAAGCTGACCTGGCCAACAAGCGTATGGTGGAGTATGAAGTAAGGCGGCCCATAGAGTTCCTCTCTGATACTTCCTCTGTTCCTGGGACCTTTTTTTTCAAACCAGCCCTTTCTGAAAACATCAACTGAGGACATTCATTGTCTCATTCCCCAGTTCTACACCAAGTTAAATACAGCAACACTGTGACCCTAATGACAGCCAGGAGATTTTAGAAGAGTCAGAAGAAAATTCCAGAGCAGAGGGTTAGGGAAGTACCAGCTGTGAGGGTACCAATGTGAAAATAGGAAGGAGGGAGCAATTAAATTTGAAGTAAGGGACTATTCAAGTGTCAGAACCCAAAAGCTCCCAACCAACTTACCCTCTCCCCTATAATTAAGCTTTCTGACATTTATGTTGGACTGAATGGACATAGGGTCATCTTGAGGGAGTTGTCATCAAATTATGCATCTAGGCTAGCTAGCTCAAAGGGATATTAATTAAGGGGAAGGATCTTAGGATTTTGCCTAGCTCTTGTGCTACATGGGAGTGGAAAGGCAATACTTGTTCCCACCCTACATTCTGAGCACCAATATACCCCACTCCTTGCAGGAGGCCCAGGCATATGCAGATGACAACAGCTTATTGTTTATGGAGACTTCAGCCAAGACAGCTATGAACGTGAATGATCTCTTCCTGGCAATAGGTAAGGTCAGAACATCCTGAGGTCTTCCTTTTTCCCTCATTTATAGGCAGAATTATAGCTAACCCAAATGAAGGTTAGGTGTGAGTGTCTCCTTTTGCAAAAACTTTAGGTATGGAAATACCTTTACTTTCTGTTGTGACCTCCATCCTTGGCTGCAGCTTTAGCTCCCTTGTCTTAGTTTGCAAACAGTGAACCTCCCATCTTCAGAACATTTTTTTAATCTCTCAAATTCTCCCTTTCCCCCAACCCAGCAGCTTTTTTGGGCGGGGGGCGGGGGTTGGAGGCAGAAGGGTAGTGAAGTAAAATCTACCATACTTTTGTTCTCTTCTCTTTTTATCTCTAGCTAAGAAGTTGCCAAAGAGTGAACCCCAGAATCTGGGAGGTGCAGGATGCCGAAGCCGGGGTGTGGATCTCCATGAACAGTCCCAGCAGAACAAGAGCCAGTGTTGTAGCAACTGAGGGGGTGGCTAGCAGCAAACAAGTATGGAGCTAGCACGAGAGCTAAGAAATAACCTCCATCCCTACCCCTCAGCACACAGCCCCTACGGTAACAGCACACTGAGCCCTGGCTCCCAAGGGCTGCCTCCTGACAGCTCCGTCATGGCACTTTTTAATGCTTCAGCAACCAACACCAGGCAGCTGTTGCCACTGGCCTCCTACCCCCTACTCTGGGGCTTGGGGGTCAACTCCCCCCAGGACTTACCTTCCAAAACAAACTTTCTTCACTTTGTATTATAGGTACAAGACAGTGACTTACTTTTCTCCTCCTCCCTAGTGTTCCTCCCCATTATTTCAGAAAACACTTCTGTCTCCTGTCCCTTCCCCTTTCTGCTTTTGGTCAATCCCTGTTCTTGATCCTCTTTTCTCCTCTCCCCAGGATGCAGAAGGTAGTAAACCCAGGAGCTGAGGAAGGAGGTTTCCAGTTCATTTACATTAAGGGCCCTGGGGGAGAATAAAGCTCAGAGCAGGAGGGAGTAAGGAAACATTTCCTTTTTGTTTTTATTTGGTTTGAGTTTCTCATATTTGAAAACATTGTGGTATCCATGAGTTGGCCTTGTAGAGGGTGTTCCTAGGTAGAGGTGAGAATGGGGAGGCAAGCTCTCAGGCACCAGGCAGGAGGTGTCCTGTAAGCTAACTGGGCAGAGGTGGAGGTACAGTGTTATCTGTGGCTCTGTAACTCTTCCAAGGCCCAGTTTCCCCTCACGCAGCCTCTTAGGTAGCATTTCCCCTATCATGGGGATTGGACCCCAGAGTCCTCCAAAGAATCTTCACTGGTTGCCTGCATCTTTGGCTCTGCTGTGATCTAATTGGAGGAGGGACCAGTTTCTGATACCCATCCTCTGATTTATACATATGCATTTTTTTCCCTCTGGCCTTTAGATGGCCTCAGCCCCAACTACCATATGCCCCTGCAGTTTGCACTTTAATTGATGGTAGTTCAGTTGGGGTACTTGTTTTATGGAAGTTTTGATTGATTTCCCTGCCCTCCCACCTTCTTTTTAATTCAATGAAATCTGAGGTTAATATGAGGTTTTGGGAGAGGTTATAGATAAAATTACCAGTGGCAGCTATTTAAGTCCAATCTCCACTGTTAGCTTCCTCCAACTCAATTCTTAACCTATATTCTTGCCAATCTAGCTATTGAGTATAGGTTTGCCTTTCCTGGAGAATTAACTGAGCAATTGGGGAGTGTCTCAGGATAGCATAGGCCAAGGTAGGGGAGTAAAAAGGAGGTCAGGCAAAAGGGAGGAGTTTTCTATCCTTTCCCAGGTTTCACACTCAATTTGATATCCATTACCATGTCTTTTCTACTTCCCTGTAAATAGATACGATCTTTATTCCTACTGTACAGTCTGTTCTATCCTCTGCCTCCCACCAGGCCCTGTTTCCTTTTTCCTTTGTTAATATCTTGAATTTAGTCCCTCCATTCTTAATCCCCCCATTCCTTTCCACCATGCAACCAGTGGTTTAATCCACGTACCACTAGGGGCTAGTACCACAGAGGCCTCCTTGTGGCGCCCTCATATCATACCACCTGTTCCTGTGGACAGGGAATGACCGGCACCGAAGGTACCTTACAACTGGCTCATATTATCAGAGGACCTTGGTCCTTTCTATATCTTTAGCCTCTCTTCATATCCGTCATTGGGTGTTTTAAGATGTATCTGGGAAGCCATCAAGGCAAAAGAGAACTTTAAGTTCCTTGTTCCAGCCCAGAGTTTCGGGAAAGAAAGAAAGAAAGGAAAGGTCACAGTGACCTAGGATTGGAACCTTTCTGCCCTTTTGGCTTGCAGACTGCCTTCTATCCCAGAACAGCTGAGAAATCTATGAAGCTGAGATTCTGAAGGACCCAGCTTAGGTTCTTCCACTTAGGCCTCAATTCCCTTCCTTTTCCAGGGGCAGCCTTAGTTCCAATGGCCCTGAAACACACACATTTCCCCCTTCCTTTCCCAGAAGCCACTGGCCCCCACCCAAAGCACCCAGTGTATCCTTTTTATAAGTAGAAGAACTAGGTTGACTTTCTAAAGTCTCCTAGAAATGAAATTCTTTCTCTCTGCAGCTTTCCCCATGGAGTAGGAGTGAAGATGTCTCATTGTCTTGGGGCTGGGAATCCATTTTCCCAGGCTTCTCCCTCCCCCACCCCCACAGAAACAGGATTTGGCCTTAGCTTCTGGGCCTACCGGCTGCCTTCCCTCTACTTCCTACCAGCTCTTCTGCCTTCCTTTGAGCTCTGTTGGGCTTGGGGATCTTAGGGTTTTTTTTTTAATTTCCCAGCTCATTTTTTTCTTCTGGTCAGTTTTTTCAAGGGGGGGGTGTTGTGGGTTTTGTTTTTGTTTTGCTTCTAAGAAAGTATTTGCCTTTCTTCCTCTCCCAACATAACAATCGTGGTAACAGAATGCGACTGCTGATTTACCAATGTATTTAATGTAAGTAAAAAAAGGAAAAAAAGAAAAGGGCATTGGAGTGTTGCTTTTTTTTTTTTTTTTGCTATTTGTTTGTCAGGTACTAGGAATTTGGAAGAAAGGATACCCAGTAATGTTTTATTGAATCAGAAACACACCTTCCCCTGCATCTTGGTACGTACGTCCTTATTCCCTTTAATCTTTTCTTAAACATCCAGTTTGGAAAATATCCCTTCTATTGCTATTTAATCACCCCTATTCTAAGGCCACTAGATTGTTCATCAAATTGAACCCTATTGTATCTTTTTTAGGCCATCTTAACAGAATGTGTATGTATAGGGTGTGGTCTGTGGATCTTTGGGCCCATTGATGAGATTGGAGGGAGGTGGTGCTATTTGAAGTAGTATACAAAAATGTATGTGCATATTTCTAGGATCCATTTTTATATGTTTCTCAAAGGGCTTCATGACCTAAAGGTTGAAAAACATCACTGAATTAGTTTTTTGGTTGATCTTGTGGCTTCCACCTCAATGGGAAAATTTCCCCTGGATCTGCTCTTGACTCCTAGTGTACTTCAAACCCGTCAGTCCATCACAGTCTAAAAGCTGAGGGAAGGGAGATGAAATAGAAAGGATTATGTATAGTTGCAGATTTTAAATTCCAGAAAATCTTAAGGATAGGAAAGAGGATTGGTACCAGACAAACCTGGCATTTTAGGCCTGTCTCTGTCAACTTACAAGCTGTGGCCTTGAGATCACGTTAGTGCTTTCTGCCTCTGTTTCTTCATCTGTAAAATAAATGCTGAAGATTAAGGTCAATTATGTAACGCATCTGTGTAGCACAAAAGTAGATGACACTATTAGGAAGGAGGCTTTTTAGATAATCCCTAACTGACTTCTCTGTATCTTCATTGGGCTGAGACTGTTTTTTAAGTTGCAGCTCTCTCTATGTTTCTTTCTTTTTTTTTTTTTTTTTTTTTTTAACTGGTAGGATAGGTTGGGCATCAGCCTTCTTCAATAATTTGATTGTATATAGATTGAAATCCTTTCCATTTCCAAGCACTTAAGAGGCAAAGCCAACTTTTCACTGTCGGTTCCCTTACCTTATATCTCTTAGTAACACCCCCTACTCCTATTCAGTGATTCTTGGTAAAAGCTCTAGTTGGAGAGCCGAAAGGAAAGGAAAATGATCTTTCAAAATTGAAGGTGAAAACCTTCACTTAAACTGATTAAAATTGTAGCTCCACCCTCGGGCCTCTAGAGGGCAGTGTATGGACACATTGCCCAGGTTAGGGGACTAGGTTTGATAAATTTTGTCCTGCATCAAACGATAAAAGGGTAATAGAAAATGTATCCTATGAGTGTCCTTTACTTTAAGAGACTACAACCTTCATACTTTTGGGTGTTAAGCTGCCATTGCTCTTGTTAAGGGGTGGTGTGTTTTTGTTTTTTGATGTAGAGTCTGGCTGTCGCCCAAGGCCGGAATGCAGTGGCGCAATTTAGGCTCACTGCAAACCCCGCCTCCCGAGTTCAAGCTATTCTTCTCCCTCGCCTCCTGAGTAGCTTGGACTACAGGCACGCACCACCGCGCTCGGCTAATTTTTTTGTATTTGCAGTAGAGACCGGTTTCACCATATTGGCCAGGCTGGTTTCCCAACCTTGTGATCCGCCTGCCTCGGCCTCCCAAAGTGCCGAATTACAGGCATGAGCCACCACGTCCAGCCTTGGACGGTTTGTTTTTTAAGAGCTGGGGTCTCGGCCAGGCACGCCTATAATTCCAGCACTTTTGGAAGCCGTGTCGGGTGGATCACCTGAGATCCGGAGTTCAAGACCAATCTAACCAACATGGAGAAACCCCATCTCTACTAAGAATGCAAAAAAATTAACCCGGCGTGTTGGCACATGCCTGTAATCCTAGCTACTCGGGAGGCTGAGGTAGGAGAGTCGCTTGAACCTGGGAGGCAGAGGTTGCGGTGAGCTTTTGCACTCCAGTCTGGCAACAAGAGTGAAACTCCATCTCAAAAAAAAAAAAAAAAAAAGACGGAGTCTTGCTCTGTTGCCCAGGCTGGAGTGCAGCGCCCGCGATCTTGGCTCAGTGCAACCTCGAACTCCTGGGTTTAAGCCATCCTCCCGCCTTCAGCCTCCCGAGTACTGGGAATACAGGAGTGTACCACCAAGGGGCAATTTTTCTTTTTTTTTTTTCTGCACAAAATAAAAGATGGCTATTCAGTGTTGTTTGTTAACTTTTGTTTGTGGAGAAATTCGAGTAGCCCAAAGAATCTCAAATTCTTGGAACCACTATTTTAGGTATTTCCGTTCTTGTTCCTGGATATGAGAATTGAGTGATTGACCTTGCTTTCCCTAAAAGATAAACAGGGTAGTTGTTGCAACAGGATAGAGGTAGGTCTACACTGGGGTAAAAGCAGAGATCACAGCCAGGAGAAACTTGACTGGATCCCGAGGCCTCCTCCAGGGTGGGGCGGCAGGGGCGTCTCAAATCTCCCACCTCTCAGCCCAAGTTTTGGATTCCTCGTCACCCGCCACACTGCCCGAGCTCCGGACAGACAGACCCCGTGTGCGAGCGTCCCATTCTTTGTGCTGCGGGGGGCGGGTAAGGGACTCCAGACTGGAGCGAGAGTGACAGCAAAAAGAGCCAGTCTCTTCGAGGCTTCCTGGCAACCTGCCTGTCTTGGCTCCAGGAGGCGGGCACAACAGCTTCGAGGCTACGCTTCCAGCCAATGGCTGGGGGATGAGCTAAGGGGCGTGAGTGGGCCTTCACTCCAGCTGGACTTAACAGCCGCTGGCCCCGCCCCTTCGCGAGAACTCTCTGAGCACTGGGCCCGTATAACAGGATTGCTGAGGACGCTGGACCCGGTAAGGGGTCTGGGGGTGGGAAAGAAGACGGGGAGGAGGGGGGCTGCTGAGTCGGGCAGTGGAGGGAGCCTTAGCGCCCAGGTGTGCTCCGAACTTCGGACAACAAAACTACCAGTACCTGCCTCCACCCCCTCTGGATGCTTTTGAGATCGCGGGGTGTTGCAACAAGACCCTTTTGTGCCCGGATGCCGGACATATCTTCCTACGTAACGTGCCCGTGGGGAATGAGGGGTCATCACCTGCACCAACGGGTGGTATTTCTGTATTACAGCAAAAGGCTGTCCCTCCCAAACCTGGGATTCTGGGCTGAGTTCATCTGCGAGTCGGCCCTACTTGCACTGCTCCCGTCTAGTACAAGCAGGCTGCTGGCATTAAGGTAGGTGACAGAGAGAATAAGGGTCCCTTGGCCTAGGGGCAAAGTGAAGACTGCTCCTATTCCCATCTCTAGGTTTCTCTGCCTCCCTACCCACCGCCCACCCGCCCTGACACATTGGTCTCCAGCATCTCATCAGCAGTTTAGACATTTCTCACCCCTCCTCACTTTGGCCCTGCTGGGTTAGTGCTCTCTGTTCAGCAGTGTGAGGAAGAAATTCTTGCAGGGCAGAGAGCAGAAAAATTACATTCCTTCTCCAGCCTGCCCCTGACATTCTGGCCATTAACTCTTCAATTTGCTGAGCTCACTGCAGTGGCATAGACAAGATGGAGGTGGTCCAGGACCCTGGATTGGGGTCCAGTTACGAGCTGGGTTCAATTTTTTTAAGGCAAAGGGAGGGAGAGCTGGAGACTAAAAGGCCTTCAAAGACAGTTATTACAGTAGTCTGACCCCTTATCGGGTTTTGCTTTTCAGAGTTTCAGTTAACCATGGTCAACCACTTGGAAAATAGGTGAACATAGTACAATAAGATATTTTGAAGCTAGAAGTGGTGGCTCGTGACTGTAATAATACCAGGACTTTATGAGGCCAAGGTTGAAGGATCACTTGAGCCCAGGAGTTTGAGTCCAGCCTAGGCCACATAGCAAGACCTCATCTCTATAAAAAACAAAACAAAACAAAACACCATGCATGGTGGCATGCACCTGTGGTCCCAGCTACTCAGGAGTCTGAGGCAGGAGGATGGCTTAAGCCTGGGAGTTTGAGGCTGTAGTGAGCCAAGATCATGCCACTGCACTCCAGCCTGGGCAACAGAGCAAGACCCTGTCTGGGGTTGGGGGAAGCCAGGCACAGTGGCTCATGCCTGTAATCCCAGCACTTTGGGAAGCTAAGACAGAAAGATTGTTTGAGGCCAGGAGTTCAAGACCAGCCCTGACAACATAGTGAGACTCCCATATCTACAGAAAAATTAGCCAGGCTTGATGACACATACTTGTGGTCCCAGCTACTGCGTAGGCTGAGGTAGGAGGATGGCTTGAGCCCAGGAGGTTGAAGCTGCAGTGAGCCATGACTGATAACTGACTTCATCACCCAGTCTTTTTTTTTTTTTTTTTTTGAGACAGGGTCTTGCCCTGTTGCTTAGGCTGGAGTACGGTCGCACCATCATGATTCACTGCAGTATCGACTTCCTGGGCTCAAGCCATCCTCTCACCTCAGCACTCTTCTCCCCACCCCAATAGCTGAAACTTCAGACAGGCACAACCATGCCCAGCTAATTTATTTTTGTTTTCTAGAGACACCGTCTCACTATGTTGCCCAAGCTGATCTTGAACTCCTAGGCTCAAGTGATCCTCCTGTCTTGGCCTCCCAAAATGTTGGGATTACAGACATGAGCTACCACGCCTGGCCAAAAAATAAAGATATTTTGAGAGAGAGACCACATTCACATAACTTTGTTTTTGTTTTTGTTTTGAGACAGGGTCTCTCTCTCTGTTGCCAAGCTGAAGTGCAGTGGCACAATCAGCTCACTGTAACCTCAAACTCCTGGGCTTAGATCTTCTTAACTCAGCCTCCAGAGTAGCTGAGACCACAGGTGCGCTCCACCACCCCCAACTAACTTTTTATTTTTTGTAGAGATGGGGTCTCCAACTCCTGGCCTCAAGCAGTCCTCCTGCCTAGGTCTCCCAAAGTTGTAGGATTACTAGAGTAAGCCACCATACCCAGCCCTTTTATTACAATATAATGTTATAATTTTTCTATTTTGTTATTAATCTCTTACTTTGGGTAATTTATTAATTAAACTATAAGAGGTATGTATGTATAGGGAAAAAAACAGTAATATAGGGTTTAATACAATCCATGGTTTCAAACATCCACTGGGGGTTGTAGAACATATCCCCAGTGGATAAGGGGGTACTGCCGTACTTGTTGACTCTTCATGTTAGCTCTGCAAGGCAGATATTATTTCAGAGATGAGGAAGCAAGTTCAGAGAGGCTTGGTATCTTGCTCAGGAAATAGGGCTGGTTAATGAATAGCAAGATACAGTTTCACAAACCCAAGGTAGTTAGCCCCCAGAATCTGGGCTCCTTCACCCAATTAGTCTGCCACTACTTTTTTCACTTTTTTTTAATCCCTGTTTTAAGTCAGTCTGGTCCAAGTGTGGTGGCTCACACCTGTAATCCCAGCATTTGGGAGGCCGAGGCGGGCAGATCACCTGAGGTCAGGAGTTCGAGACCAGCCTGACCAACATGGTGAAACCCTGCCTCTACTAAAAATACAAAAATTAGCCAGGTGTGGTGGCAGGTGCCTGTAATCCCAACTACTCGGGAGGCTGAGGCAGGAGAATCACTTGAACCCAGGAGCCAAGATCGTGCCATTGCACTCCAGCCTGGGGGAAAAAGCAAGACTTTGTCTCAAAAAAAAAAAAAAATTTCAGTCTACCCCTCAGTTGCCCTCTGCTGACTTCAGAAATAATAAACTGGCCAGTAGACATTTGGCTGTGGTCCTTTAGGCCCTTGCCCCAGGCATTGTTCTCTATGGTGGACAAAGTTCAGAGTGGAAGATGGAAGACAGTTGATTCTAGAAGCACCCATTCCTCCTACCCCATTCCCCACCCTCATTACCTGCCATCCTGTCAGCACAGTCTATCTCTGAAATGCTCCAGGTTTTCTCTAATGGCCCGTTTGGACTCCCACTCTCAAGACTCCCCATTTGCCCAAAAAGCTCCTTGCTGACATTCTCTGTGTCTCCCTCCTACCTATTCCCTTAGGTCTCCCTAATATCCCCTCCCAAGTTCTCCCTATCTTGATCCCAGAATCTTCCTTCTACAGGTCTGCTACTATGCTGCTGCTGCACAGAGCTATGGTCCTCAGGCTCCAACAGGCCTGCAGGTAGGCCATCCCATCCCAGGACTTGCTTCCTAGCCCCCATCTCCCGCCCTTAGTGTCTTTTACAATGTCTTACCTTCCAAATAAGATAGTTGAGAGAGTGTCCAGGGAGGACAGAGAAAGCCAGATCCCACTTTTCCCACCTATCCCTTGAGAAACTGAGTTCCAACTGAAGGAACAAATGACCAACCATGGAGAAAAGAAGTAGATCCTAGGCCTTCACCGGCCCTTTCATATGACCATACATGCTACTAAGAAGACCTCTCTCTCTTCCAGACTCAAGTCAATCCACTCAAGGCTCTGCATTCAGGCCTGCTCCACAAATGAGTCATTTCAGCCCCAGCGCCCGAGCCTCACCTTCTCTGGTGATAACGCCAGCACCGGGGGATGGAGAGTCATGGGGACCCTATTAGGTCTTGGTGCAGTGTTGGCCTATCAGGACCATCAGTGTAGGGTAAGTGGGGAAGGGACTTCATTGTCAGAACAGACTGGATGCAGTGGCTCACATCTGTTATCCCAGCACTTTCGGAGGCCTAGGTGGGTGGATCACTTGAGTTCAGGAGTTTGAGACCGGTCTGGGCAACATGGCAAAACCCCATCTCTAGTAAAAATATAAAAATTAGCCAGGTGTGGTGGCATGTTCAAGAGGCTGAGGCATGAGAATCACTTGAACCTAGAAGGCTAAGTCTTCAGTGAGCCGAGATCAAGATTGGGCCATTTGAGCCCGGGTGACAGAGTGAGACTCCATCTCAAAAAAAAAAATTGTCAGAACAAAGGAATCAGTCCTAGTAAACTCCACAGGCAACCCAGGCTGTGACCCATGTTCTTGCAGTTACCACAGAGTCCACAGTCACACAGTCTTTATGCACAGTAGAGATGAAATCTGCTACCTTCAGTTCCCAGTGGCCAAGACTGTGGGTTGGGTCAGGATGAACTAGAGTGATTTCTTCTTAATAGTCTCTTCCCTTTTGTCTTACTCCTTCCCTGCCGACAGGCTGCTCAGGAGTCAACACACATATACACTAAGGAGGAAGTGAGTTCCCATACCAGCCCTGAGACTGGGATCTGGGTGACTCTGGGCTCTGAGGTCTTTGATGTCACGGAATTTGTGGACCTACATCCAGGGGGGCCATCAAAGCTGATGCTAGCAGCTGGGGGTCCCCTAGAGCCCTTCTGGGCCCTCTATGCTGTTCACAACCAGTCCCATGTACGTGAGTTACTGGCTCAATACAAGATTGGGGAGCTGAACCCTGAAGACAAGGTAGCCCCCACCGTGGAGACCTCTGACCCTTATGCTGATGATCCTGTACGTCATCCAGCCCTGAAGGTCAACAGCCAGTGCCCCTTTAATGCAGAGCCCCCGCCTGAGCTGCTGACAGAAAACTACATCACACCCAACCCTATCTTCTTCACCCGGAACCATCTGCCTGTACCTAACGTGGATCCAGACACCTATCGCTTACACGTAGTAGGAGCACCTGGGGGTCAGTCACTGTCTCTGTCCCTGGATGACTTGCACAAGTTTCCCAAGTACGAGATCACAGTCACTCTGCAGTGTGCTGGCAACCGGCGCTCTGAGATGACTCAGGTCAAAGAAGTAAAAGGTCTAGAGTGGAGGACAGGAGCCATCAGCACTGCACGCTGGGGTGGCGCACGGCTCTGTGATGTGTTAGCCCAGGCTGGCCACCAACTCTGTGAAACTGAGGCCCACGTCTGCTTTGAAGGACTGGACTCAGACCCTACTGGGACTGCCTATGGAGCATCCATCCCTCTGGCTCGGGCCATGGACCCTGAAGCTGAGGTCCTGCTGGCATATGAGATGAATGGGCAGCCTCTGCCTCGTGACCATGGCTTTCCTGTGCGTGTGGTGGTTCCTGGAGTGGTGGGTGCCCGCCATGTCAAATGGTTGGGCAGAGTAAGTGTGCAGCCAGAGGAAAGTTACAGCCACTGGCAACGGCGGGATTACAAAGGCTTCTCTCCATCTGTGGACTGGGACACTGTCAATTTTGACTCTGCTCCATCCATTCAGGAACTTCCTGTCCAGTCGGCCATCACAGAGCCCCAGGATGGAGAGACTGTAGAGTCAGGGGAAGTGACCATCAAGGGCTATGCATGGAGTGGTGGTGGCAGGGCTGTGATCCGGGTGGATGTGTCTTTGGATGGGGGCCTAACCTGGCAGGTGGCTGAGCTGGATGGAGAGGAACAGCGCCCCAGGAAGGCCTGGGCATGGCGTCTGTGGCAGTTGCAAGTCCCTGTGCCAGCTGGACAGAAGGAACTGAACATTGTTTGTAAGGCTGTGGATGATGGCTACAATGTGCAGCCAGACACCGTGGCCCCAATCTGGAACCTGCGAGGTGTGCTTAGCAATGCCTGGCATCGTGTCCACGTCCATGTCGCCCCATGAGCATAGAAAGGAGCCACCTCAACCCCTTTCCCCACCTACTGGCCTCACTGCTTCAGAAAAATCTTTCCCATCTCTCAACATCTTGGATCACAACTCTGGCCTTCCTAAGCCATACCCAAGTACACATATAGCACATTTCACCCAGGGACCCTGCCTCTTTGAACAGTATGTTACATACCCCTCTTGGCCTTTGAACCTGTGCTGGGAAGTGTGAGCTGTTACAGTAAGGGGCTAGAAGTAAGACAAGTAATTCTGGAGACAAGCACTATTTTGTCTTCCTACCCCACCTCCATTTCTAATGCCTACTGCCATCAAGGCCTTGTTTTGCTTTTCATTTTGGATTCTTCAGAGAAATGTGTGTGGCATGTGTAAGAAAAGTGTATATACTATTTTCTACTGCCTCTCCAGGTTGCCAGAGGGTTGTGAGGAAAGCAAGGGGTCCAACTGTCTCCTTTTATAGCTCTACTTTTCTAAGAGTCTGTTTAAGATCATTACTCTTGGGCCTAGGGAGTGAGCCTATTGCAGCAGAGAGGACACATTTGTACTGGGATGTATAATGAGATTAGTCCAAAACAAACAAAATTGGGGAGGAAGACAGAGAGGAAGCAGTCTTGTAGGTTAAAAAGTAAGGCTTCCGGCCAGGCATGGTGGCTCATGCCTGTAATCCCAGCACTTTGGGAGGCCAAGGCAGGTGAATCACTTGAGGTCAGGAGTTTGAGACCAGCCTGGCCAACATGGTGAAACCCTGTCTCTA